TTCGGAGTCGCGGACCTTCAGTAATAGTAATAAATCACACAGCAATAGTACATTCACGTTGTTGTAAAAAGCATGATAATATATTAAGTAATCCAAAGTATTCAGAATACGATACTGTCATTGAGTAACGTAACGGAATACGTTATACATTTTGGGGCATGTATTCTGTATTCTGTAATGGAATACATTTTAAAAGTAACCTTCCCAACACTGGTCCTCAGTCATCAGTGATCTTATGGATGCTAAGAGGCTAACTGTAAAATGCTGACAGTATGTGACAGAGGATTTACACAGCGTAGGGGTAATGCATTCAGAAATACTGTAATCACTTTACTGTTCTAAATTCAGTAATCATATTACAGTTATAAATCAATGAATATTGTCATTACTTACACTGCACAAGAAGCCTCGTGTGGAGGCATAACGAAAATGGCAGAGCACTCTGCAGCTTTGGAGAAGTAGCCATATAAACGTTACGTTCATGCTTATTACGCAAAAAACAAGAATGTGACCTTGAAGTGCAAAATATGCCCAGGCCAGAAGCTATCTGCTGCTGCTAAAATGGTATCAACACATCACCTACAAACACAGCACACTAATGAATAGCATCAGTACAGACCACATGCTAACACTTAGCTAGTAGTGAAGAACCTAGAATGATGCCAAAGCTGACTGTATGCTGACCCTGCCAAATACTTAAAGCAGTCAGGCATGTTGTTTTGTAGTATCTGTTTCCACAAATACTTGTTTTTACAATCATACCACTAAAACCAGTAATGTTTCTCCCACTGAAAACGCTACGTCCAGATGGACACAATCAACCTTTTTGCAGTCTACAGACACGGGGTTTAGCAGACATGTGAGTGCTAACCGTGTGACTTTAATCCGAGCTTGCTCAATAGGGCTGTAAAGACTTTTTAAATGTCTTAAAACTATGTGGGAAGCCTGTTTTCATTAGTAACCCACTCCCAACGCTGGATGCTTCAGCACTCCTTAGCCTCAATACCTGGTATCAAAGCGATAATGTAGTTTTTATGGACAATTTTAATCTATTTTAATGTATACTTTATTAATCCCCGTAGGGAAATTACTCCTCTGCAATTAACCCATTCACTCATGTGAATCAGTGGGCAGCCACCAATCCTCAGGGTAGCAGTGGATTAGAACACTCAACCTTCCACTCATGGGGCGACCACTCTACCTACTGAGCTATCCCTTCAGAATTATTCCTTTCTTTTTAGGAATGATGAAATCCACCCCAATTGGTCAGGCAGCTGAATCTTAACTGCTTCGTGTACTACACTGCGCCACGCAACTGATGTTTACATCCTAAAACCTCTCTGAAGTCTTTTTCTTCATTTCCATTTATTGTGTCAGCAAACAGTTCTGTTTTAATTACAGTCCTCACCAACTGAGTAGACTCTCTGGACCTTAACTACATGTAAGTTCTTATAGTAATTTCCAAAGTTCTCCCTGAGGTTTTAGAAAACACAGTTTCTGAAGACTAAATTAAAAAAAAAAAAAAAAAAAAAAAGAGCTCTAACACATTAGAGTTGGGTTTTAGAGCAAACCGTAGGTCAGAGACATCACTGCTCAGAGTGATATGTGATGTCCTTCCAGGCTTCTCTTCTGGAACCAGTTCCTAATTTGGATTTGTGAGCCAGACACCCTCTCTACCTTTAAGTTGAGAAACTTTCCTTTTTGATAAAGCATATATTTAGAGCTGGATCTGGTGATCCAGAATCCTCCTTTAGTTACTCTGCAATGGGTCTAGGCTGCTGGAGGATTCCCATGATGCACTGAGTGCTTCTTCTTGACTCACTTTTTCTACTCACTCTGTAATTATACACCTCTCTGCATTCAATCATTGGTTATTATTAATCTCTGACTCTCTTCCACGGTGTTCCTTCATCCTGTCAGGTGGCCACCCCTCCCTGAGCCTTGTTCTTCCTGTTTAAAGGGAGTTTCTCCTTCCAAGTGTCACCAAAGCACTCAGTTATGTCATTTTAGTGACCAGTGTCAGGATGGCTGAGCGGTCTAAGGTGCTGTGTTGAGGTCGCAGTCTCCACTGGAGGCGTGGGTTTGAATCCCACTTCTGACATTGAGTCGTTACTCTTGGCTGTCAAACATGCCCTACCTCCACCCTGATTGGAGGATAACTGCACTGCCAACACCCATGGACATTACACTTTATTTATAAACCGTATTTGTATGTATACTTTAATGCAACCAACATCCCTACCTCTTTAAACTGTATTTACTATACCACTGTTTATTATAGTTGCAACAGCACCCCCCCACACACACACACCCTCTCTTGTTTTGCCGGGGCAGAACTCATGGTGGGTTCACGCCCTCGGTCCACGCCTTCCTGGATTGGGAACACCTGGGCCTCATCAGACCAGCTGGTATTTAAGAGGGAGGAGCTCAGCTGTTCGATGCTGGATTGTTGTGAAGACTCTAGTCAATACACGTCAAGCCGAAGTTTCCCGTGTCTCTGTTTCAGGAGTTAGCGTGTGTTTCTGTGTTTCTAGATTCCCCGGACTCGTCCCCGTGTTTCCCCGTGTGGAGTGTGAAAGGAGTCACTGGTCGCTAGTGGAGAGAGAGAGGTTGGAGTGAACGTGTGTGTGATCCCCCTGTTTCCCCGGAGCCCTGGAACCCCGCCCCTCACGTCTTGTACATAGCAGAATCCTCGCACTGCCTGTAAATAAACTTGGTGAAGAACTTGTAAATAAAACCGTCTCTGTTAAAACGCAACTCCGGAGTCCTGCGTGTGGATCCTCAGAGCAACCCGTGACACCTGCTGGCATGCGTGCGTGTGTGTGTGTGTGTGTGTGTGAGAGAGACACACCCATCTCGCCCCTGTGGGCGGTTTATCCTTCAAGCTCGGGTCCTCTACCAGAGGCCTGGGAGCTTGAGGGTCCTGCGCAGTATCTTAGCTGTTCCCAGGACTGCGCTCTTCTGGACAGAGATCTCCGATGTTATTCCCGGGATCTGCTGGAGCCACTCGCCTAGCTTGGGAGTCACCGCACCTAGTGCTCCGATTACCACGGGGACCACCGTTACCTTCACCCTCCACATCCTCTCGAGCTCTTCTCTGAGCCCTTGGTATTTCTCCAGCTTCTCGTGTTCCTTCTTCCTGATATTGCTGTCATTCGGAACCGCTACATCGATCACTACGGCCGTCTTCTTCTGTTTGTCTACCACCACTATGTCCGGTTGGTTAGCCACCACCATTTTGTCCGTCTGTATCTGGAAGTCCCACAGGATCTTAGCTCGGTCATTCTCCACCACCCTTGGGGGCATCTCCCATTTTGACCTCGGGACTTCCAGGTTATACTCGGCACAGATGTTCCTGTACACTATGCCGGCCACTTGGTTATGGCGTTCCATGTATGCCTTGCCTGCTAGCATCTTGCACCCTGCTGTTATGTGCTGGATTGTCTCTGGGGCATCTTTACACAGCCTGCACCTGGGGTCTTGCCTGGTGTGATAGACCCCAGCCTCTATGGATCTTGTACTCAGAGCTTGTTCTTGTGCTGCCATGATTAGTGCCTCTGTGCTGTCTTTCAGTCCAGCTTTGTCCAGCCACTGGTAGGATTTCTGGATATCAGCCACCTCCTCTATCTGCCGGTGGTACATACCGTGCAGGGGCCTTTTGATTTTAATTTTCAGTCTTTGAATCAGTTGTCCAAGGAGGAGCCCATGGTCATCGGGTCTAACCACAAGGTTTGAGGAAAGACAAAAACGTACAGCTCTTGAACTGTCAAACTTTGAGACTTTACATGTACTATTACAGCGGTCCCCAACCTTTTTTGCGTCATGGACCGGTTTAAGGACCGGCCTTTAAGGTGTCGCGGATAAATACAACAAAATAAAATCAGTACCGGTGCCAAAAAAAGAAGATTTATTCATAACACCCAGTTAAAGACCCAGGGAAACTGAGTTAATGCTGAAAACGATTTTAAAAAAAGACAATAAAAACCCTGAAAACCACGAATTTCACACCTGAGCCTCAACTCTCGCGTGCCAAGCGGCCTGGGGGTTGGGGACCGGTGTACTGAGGTACACAAGTTTTACACATGAAACAATAAATTGGACTCGGTCATCACCACAATAGTGAAAAGGATTTTCCCTTCACTTCCACACAGAGATGTGATGAGATTAAGCAGCTGTTAAACCTCCATACTGAACAGCAGACATCAGTGACCACAGATACAGAACAGTTCCTGTGGCCAGGCGACAGCAGCTGAAATACTGTGCCCTATATCACATCTGACAATATGCATGAAAGCATTTAAGGTTATATGAGCGGGCATTGTGTGATCAGCTGACCTGCTTGGGATTATTCCTGATAATATATTCACAGCCCGTCTGAAACATTAGTATGTTTGATTTTTTTCATAAAACAGTCAAATAAAAATGTATGTTTGCTTCAGACTATAGGGGGTGGCTGTAGCTCAGAAGGTAAAGCAGGTTAACTATTACTCCATGGCTGCTCCCAGTCTGCATGCCACATATCTGTGACCCCAAATTGCTCTCCAGCGCATCCATCGGAGCATGAACGTGTGTGATGAATGTTAAATAGAAAGCAGTTGTGTGTGCTTGTGTGAATGAGGGAAGTTGTGTAAAGTTCTTTGAGTGCTCAGGTAGAGTTGATAAGCACTTTACAAGAACCAGTCCATTTACCACTCAGGAGCTATCGGGCGATCGTGGCTCAAGAGTTGGGAGTTCGTCGTGTAATCGGAAGGTTGCCGGTTCGAGCCCCGGCTCGGACAGTCTCGGTCGTTGTGTCCTTGGGCAAGACACTTCACCTGTTGCCTACTGGTGGTGGTCAGAGGGCCTGGTGGCGCCAGTGTCCAGCAGCCTCGCCTCTGTCAGTGCCCCCAGGGTGGCTGTGGCTACAATGTAGCTGCCATCACACAATGTGTGTGTGAATGACTGGATGTGTAAAACGCTTTGGGGTCCTGAGGGACTAGGAAAGCGCTATACAAATACAGGCCATTTAGCTAATATCTTAACATTTATTGTCCACAGCTTGAACTGAGCCTTGAGGCAGACTGGCTTCAGCAGCAGACCACATCAGGACTTCTGTGATCTAAGAACAAGAAACTGATGACACATTTCACCTGGTCTCACCAAAACTAGAAAATAGAAGATTGGGAAAAGATGGTACGACCATGCAGCAGTCGATGGTAAAGTCAGAACTTGGTTTAAAAAAATCCTGAAAGCATGGATCCTGTCTCGTATCAACATTTCAGGTTGGTGGTGGTGATGTAACGGTGGAGGTTGGGGGTCTCACGTCCCACATAAGTACTGCTGGTCGCCGTGTCCATTCCTTTATGACTATAATGTACCCAACCTCTGATGGCTGCTTCCAGCAGGAAAACACCACCAAAGCTGAAAGCATTGTGAACCGGATTAGTTAATATGTTCCATTTCAGCTGCTGATTGGCTCTTTGGGGAGCACACCTTGCCATTAGAGAATTCTCCTATGGAGAAACTCTGGGAGCCACGCCTCCTCTTTAGACTCTCTGTGGCGTGATAGCGTCACTGAGGTGTTTTGGCACAGAAGTGTTTTATAAATAACTCTATTTGGAAGACTTTAGAAATAAACGTAGCCATTTCTATTTGATCTAATCGTATTTTGCACACATCATCACCTTCAAGTCAAACCAGTGTCATTCTGCTTTACTCTGCTTTGTTCACCTCTCTCCTGTGCTGGACTGTTGTTCTCTCTCGTAGCCATCCACCTGTTCTTGACCCCATGCTGTTGGCCTCCAGTCTGATGAACTTTGACCCTGGTCAATCAGTAGCAGTCAGGAACCTCTTGTCCACCTCTGGACTTCGAGAGTGAAATTGGTAATTTATTTTAATGTGTGTGTTTGTGTGTACGTTTGTATTTATGCTACAGTGTGACCCTGTCTGAACTCTGACTAGTGGCTTCAATAGTAACCAGCTGCGCGCGTGTGATGTGTGTCGTGTGTGTGTTGTTGTGTGTTGTGTGTGTCTGTGTGTGCGTGTGTGTGCGTGTGCGTGTCGTGTGTGGGTGTGTGTGTGTGTGTGGTGTGTGCGTGTGGCGTGCGTGTGTGTGTGTGTGTGTGTGTGTGTGGGCGTGTGTGTGTGTGTGCGTGTGCGTGTGTGCGTGGGATCTTTGTTCCCAGGTTTAATAAAGCAGACATCCTACAGACACATACTCAGTATACATCCTCTCTACCAATCCTTTGGTCGTGCTGGCTGTGTTGGTATTTTTAGTGTCTGTTTGTCAGTTGGTCCCCTCTCTGGTCGAGAGCAGGGTGGAAATATTCTGAGAGGCCTCTTTAATTTCAGCTCTCTTCTTCAGCACCACCAGCAGGTCAGAGTTGTCATTTTTCCATATCTTCTTGTTTCCCTTAAAAATAGTTAGGTAGAAATATTCACAGCTCCTAATAGATCCTAAAATATCTCATAGATACATCCCACATTGTGCTCTTCAATCTGCATCAAACCATTATGCCCAGGTGTGTTATGGTGGCATCCTGTGACACACCAACAGTGCGCGTCATGTTTGGACCCTGCTTTTGTGTGCACGTTCACATGCCCATCAAATAAAGTTTGGAAGTCTGGTCGTGCAGTTCAGATGTTTCCACATCAAACAGAGGTGCAGTCTGAGCTTCTCTCACACAGCCACAGATATTGTTCACATTATTACAACGAAGAGAAAATCCAGGCGTCGTTTTTGATTATCAGGTAATTTAGTTCCTAAATGGTAAAACCACAGAACAGCTACTTTACATACACAGATTCATATTACTGGACGCCTTACTGAAAAATATAGATACATTAAAAAAACCACTTATGACATTATTGTATTATATATCATATTACATATTATTGTATTGCAATCACTGCCTCTCTGCCCCAGTTACAAACACGTGGTGCTGTTTTAGGTGTTGGTCGGTTATCTCTGTAGGATAACGACAGGAAGCCGTCACAGGACTGAGCCTCCAGCCCGATGTCAAATCTGTGATACCATACCCACTACTGTGGACTCACAACTTTACTCCTTTGATTTGGCAGCTGGTTACAGGTTTCACCTTCCCTTCAGCTCTGGCTGGATGA